TTGGCATGTAGAAATGAAATGAAAAAGTGGAAGAGAATGTGTGTGAGAAATCAGCTCCACCGGAGCAGAATGCTACTAATGAAAAGTGTGTTTGTGTTTTCCAACATGCACCCGAAATCGGGTCAGCACCGCCGGCTTATAAACATCACTACCCCGTGGCAGAGCTGACAGCCCTGAAACTGGACCATGATCTCGACTGCTCTCCGTTCCAAAGACCAGCACAAAATGCAGCACGAGTAGCAGCACAAGCGCCAGCACGAGCAGAAGCAGAAGCGAGAGGAGCGCGAGCAGCGGCAGACGCAGCTGTGCACATGCTACAAGCGCAAGAACTCCCACGAGCACCAATACCACCAGTACATCAGGCAGCGGTAAAATCCTCAGCGCTCGCTGCCACAGACAGCGAAGAAGAACATTTGGAAAACACAGCGGCTTGACAGAGCCTACGGACAGAGGGAACAAAGTACGTGGGAAAGCCTTCTATTGGGTAATTTTCTGAAAGGACTGAGACCAGAAATTTCAAGGGGAGCAAAGGCAAGTTACGTGGAGTGGAAAGCAACAGCCAACGAAACTAAGTGTCTTATTCCTCAACAAATGACTGATGTGCTAAAAACTGTTGTGGACCTGGAGGAAGGAAGGACACCAACAAAACAGCCTGCTGACGACTGTGACCACATACAGCAATACAACAACACTGATATAGCAATTCCACCTTTGAGGGTAACATATGCCCAGGGTGATGTTTGTGTCTGTTTCAACAGGCCGAGAATGTTAAAGACCGGATGGTCTGACTGCAGGATCAAAATCAACGTACAGGACGGAACAATGAGCAATTGTACAGCGATCATCAACAATAAAGAAATCAACTTCAGATGTCCATTCCACAAACCGAACGAAAGTTCACCAGCCGCGGTGTGGGTGTGTGGTGACAGAGTTTATCACCGTTTGCCTAAAAAAGACTGGTCAGTTTGCTGTTATCCAGCTTTGATGAATGTGGGAACTTCTGTGTATTTACCAAGCAAAGTAGGTAATAGGGAGAGACGAGACATTAAGATTTTGCCTGGGGCTTTGCCAAATCATTATGCGGGGTACACACTAACTGATCCGTGGACGACACCAGGAGCAAATATAGGTTGGTCCATTTTCTTAGGGGTGGGTACAGCAGTAACGATTAACAAGATTAATGGGTTAGCATGGACGGTATTAGCAATGGCCAATAGCACAGAAAATGCTTTGACATTAATAAGTGATGAAATGAGGCAACTGAGGGACACAGTCATTCAAGACCGTTTAGTTCTTGATATGCTTATGGCAGAAAGGGGCGGAGTGTGTAAGATGCTGGGGATATCTTGTTGTTTTAACATTCCTGATTACAGTGATAATATAACCAACATAATTGAACACATGAGAGAGGCCGTAAGAGAACCTGAGCGGACTGACAACCTGTGGACCGGGTGGGTTATGTCTTTGTGGGGAGGATGGATGTACTGGATAATTCAAACTGTTCTGCCAATTGTAGTGATAGGAATTCTGATTCTGTTTTGTTTGCCATGCATTATGAGGTGTATTTCCAGCTCAGTACAGAGATTGGTCAGGGCTGGGACACCCATACAAGCAGTAAAACTGACCGCTTATCCGACAGATAGTGAACACAAATGTGATGATTATGAGAGTGACGAGAGTGATGACATTTACTCCAATTAAATTTCTAGTAGGATTTCCATCTGTCAGGCGTGGATCTAGTCTGAATGGTTGATAACTTTTGACAAAGTTTAATCCAGGAGCAAAGAGAAATATTTATATTTTAAAAAGCATGGAGAGATGCTTATATCTATATTAGGATATTTAGACAGACTTAAAGAAGTTCCAGATCTATACTTGTGCTCTTATTATTTCAGTTATTTCGCCTTTCATGTAAATAAGCATGTGCAAACAATATACTTTATTGAATTTATTTGGGTGTTAATTACATTGTGCGAGCTGTCTCTTTAATACCGCGTGGTTTACATACATGTTGCTGCTGATTGGGCTGACATTTTTTGACACACCCTCCAAACAAGACTCTCTGTGGTCATTAAAAATCCCAGGATGTCTTTCGAAAAGAGTAGAGGTGTGACCTCGGCATCCTGGCCAAATTTGCCCATTGGCCTCTGATCATCTTGGCCTCCTAACAATCCCCATATCTGTTAATTGGCTTCATCACTCTGTCTCCTCTCCACCAGTAAGCTGGTGTGTGGTGGGGGTTCTGGCGCACTATGGCTGCCGTCGCATCATCCAGGTGGATGCTGCACACTGGTGGTGGATGAGGAGATACCCCCTGACAATGTAAAGCGCTTTGAGTGCCTAGAAAAGCGCTATATAAATGAAACAAATTATTATTATTATTAAGAGAAAACGCATCTCAAACACCGTTGCACACCGTTTCCAGGAAACATGTCGTTCAAACCGGAAACCCTAGCAAAACGGTGCACATCGGTTTGAGCTTGAACTTGCCCCAGATCTTCACCTGCTGCAGCGGCGGCTTCTCCCGGTTCAGATATCCGGTCCGTTTACGATAGGATATGTTTATTGGCTACTGCAGTGCCGTCAAAGGTTTGAATATCAATTCAAATTGTGGGCGTACTCAGTAACGAACTATGATTTACGAGAAACGAAGTAGATTATTTTGCTTAATTTGTACTTCAGTACAAGTAAAAGTATAGCTTTAAAAATATAGCCTACTCAAAAAAGTACAAGTACCCAAAAAAACGACTTAATTACAGTAACGTGAGTAGTTGTAATTCGTTACCTCCACCACTGCAAATGTAACCTGTCTGCTAACATAAGAATGTGTTTTGAAAATGCGTCTTGATTGCAAAATATGTGATGGCAAGGTAAAAATCACATTTTGATAAAAAAGAGAAAAGTTGGGAGGTTGAATCAAAGTATAGCTCAGTAGTTTAGTACATGTAAGATACAAAAATGTAGTATCATTTGTCTTGAGTACAAGGTTTTATTTTTTCAACATCTCGCCCTGTTTTGTTCCACTTCTCAATTTTATAAAAGAGAAGCATGAAGAAATCATTTTTAGTTCCTATGTATTTTAGCTGAATTACAAAAATGAAATTGTTGAGACAGCACATTTCACTAAATGGAGAGGATATAAACATGAGCAAAGGGAGGGAAATTATAGAAGGACGGGTGAAAACAAGCTTCTTGAGAAGAACAACTATTAGTGGTGAGTAACAGTTCTATAGATGCATCTTTAATTCCCCTTGTTATTGTTATACTTATGCTATTTTAAGTTATTTATATGTTTTTTATTTTATGAGTTATATCATTTGTTAGACCTGTGATACATGATCTTCATTGTTGCTATCACTTTACACACAACTACACATAATCCAGCAACTGATATTTGCGTAATTTGTAAAATGTAGTTATGTAACTCTAACAAATGTAACTAGTTAATTCTGTCCTTCAATCCAATCAAATTTTTTGTAATAGCAGTTGGGTAACGCATTAGAACAGAACAAGTATACAAGTATATGAGAGTGTCAACTACAATGTTGGATTATAATCAAATATTTTCCCGCAGTCGGGCTGTAACAAAAAGTTAAATGCGTGTTCAATTAATGTTTTTTTTATCTCTCTGGGCAATAACAGATTGTTTGTTTGTTTGTTTGTTTATTTATTCGTCAGAGTGATTTTTTCCATATTGTTTACAAGGCCTCCTTTATGGGAGGAATACGTAAAGGGTAGACAACAGTATAAATACAATATTGCTAGACCTAATCACATATACTTTTTATATCGATATTTTTTATACTTTTTTATGCTTTTGGTGCCCGTATGGACTAGGCTATTTGTAGAGCTGCCTTTGGCCTTTTACATTTTATTTAGGGCTGTCAAGTGATCCATTTTTTAATAAAATTAATAAGCCTACATGATGTGCCGATTAACTAATCTAATTAATCGCTAATTAATCACAATCATAATCAATTTAGACGGAGAATACCCCCAAAGGATCATTTAAAGCCATTCTTGTATAATGTATATATTATTATATAAGTTTATAGCTTGATCGTGTAATAACCTAGTCGTTATAAAAACAATCACATGTGGTTGTTGTTCTTGCAGAGTTGATAATCCATCATCCTCTTCATCATGCTGCTGCTTCTTCGTGTGCTGATGCTGTCGCTTCTCTCCGGTGGTTCAGCCAAAGTTGTGCAGAATTTTGAGAGTGGCTGTGGTAAATTTTTTGCAAATGGAAAATCACCAACAATATTACCTGGTCCACAATACAGGCAGATCTGCCAAACTCTAAATAATGATGTTTATTATGCCACATTCTATGACACTGACAACAAGATCCCCGTGTACTCAGCCTACAAGTTTGAAGGACTAAAGAGCTGCACAAGACTAGACAAGTGGTACATTGAACCTCAAGTAAGTGAAATATTACTCTAAATGTGTTGTTGTACCATATTACATATTACAGATTTAGGGATTTTGTGTGTGTGTGTGGGTGGAGTCATTAGAAATGTGCTAATAACAGTAAAATCTTTGCTGTTTATCCTCTTAGACTTTGAAAATATTCACAGCTAATCTTTAAAGTAAAATCATTTTAAAATATACTTTTTTCAAATCATATTTTTCTCATTTGTATGCATGTGGCACCCTATGACATAATACTTTGTGCAACCTCCTTTGATAAGCATCAATTAGGATCAGATCTTTTCAGCTAGATGCATTGGATTCTGAGGTCCTCATGTCTCTACATTACATTGTTCAAAGCAATTCAAGATAATTCGGTATGAGCACCAAATAATGTGTCGAACAGCTTTAAAATCTAAAGAAACATGAGGATACTAAATCAGATAAATGATTCTAAAATAAAAGACAGATTGCTAATATATGTGTAGTACAGTAAAGTGAGATGTAAAGTAGGGATGAGTTTGTAATGTATTTTAAGAACAACAATAGATTTGGCCTAAAAGTGTTTGCTGTACTTGTTTAAAACTTCAGCCTACAGAGTCTCTCACATATTAGTATGATTTTTTGTTCTCTTCTAACGTGAACTGTCCTTAAGCTCATATTTTCAATTGATTCACTGTTGCAGCTTGACGACAATAATGCATCACCAAACATGAAATTCGAGAAAGATGTGAAAATACAAGGACTTGGAGGCCGTCAAGCTCTCAATGGAGACTATGAGAATTCTCGTTACGACAAAGGTCATCTGGCACCAGTCTACCAGGCACAATCACAGAGCTGTGCTTATGCCACCTTCACTCTCACCAATGCTGCTCCACAAAACCCCTCTTTTAACCGAGGTCAGTGGAAGGTACTAGAAAAAAAAATTGCAGAAGAACTGTCCTATCAATGTCTACCAAAAAGATATACTGTTTACATTGTGACAGGGGTGGTACCTGGTACTGGTAACATAAAAAATAGAGTGAACGTGCCTAGTCATTTCTGGACTGCGTACTGCTGCTTAGACAACAATAACAAATGTCAGATCTCAAGCGGGTTTATTGGAGAGAACAAGAAAGATACTCCCAAAAACAAAACTGTGAAGGATTTAGAGACAGAGTTGGCAACGCTTTATAAAGTCACATCCTTTAAGTTGTTTTAAGCTCTACTGAACCCCAAGCAAAGAAAAAAAGAATAAGTAGATTAAGAATAAAATCAATTGAACCGAAAAGGAAATCAATTTACAAAATTGTAAAAAAATATATATAAAAAAAAGCATTTTGAAAATAACTTGTCTGAGAGAAAGTTTATTGTGCTGTTTTTTGTTTGTTTGTTATGTTTTATTTTTGACTAAATGTTCATAATTATCAGCTGAATCTTGAAAACTCCTGTTTTATATGTAATTCTCCAATTCTTCTGATTCTTAGATGTTTGTCTGTAATGAATAATCAAAGCAAATATAATGTGCATAAATGAAGTAGTATATAGTAAATAACATACTCTATTTTGTTTATGTGTGTGCATGCCTATGTATCCAAGTCTCTGTGTATGTTTGAACATGTTTACCTATGTGTGTATTTATATCCACATATGTATTACTTTTTCTTTCTTTTTTTATATCCTTGACGTTATTCTATACTGCTCTGTAATTCATTTCAATTATTCTAAATAAAAATTATTATCACAAAAAAAGAGTTAATATGTTGAATGACAAAGCAGGAGGTTAGAAATACTCACCCGTCTCACTACAACACCAGTGTATCCTTCCTTTTTTGGTATACTGTAATATTTATAGAGCATACTTTGGCCTTTTACATTTCATTCTTTATCATTTGTTGATTATTCTGCTGTTGAACAACAATAAGAACTGTCAAATCTCAGGAGGATTGATCAGAATGAAAGAGAACATTGCTCCCGAAGAAAAAACTGAACATGAGATAAGAGATAGATTTGACAAACCTTTATAATTCATCTTTTCAGGTGTTCGATAGCTCTACAAATCCAACAAAGAAAGCAAAAACTTAATCTCACATTTTAATTATTATTATTATTTCTGACTTAATGATTGTAATTTTCAGCTGAATTATTAAATCATGAAAAACTACAGTTCCACATGTAATTCTCCAATTCTTACATATTTGACTGTAATTAATAATGAAGCAATTATGAAATGGATAATTTAAGTGCATCAAATAATCCACTAATATGAAATAAAGATTTTTTTTTTTTTTACTTCTTGAGAATCATTAAGGGCATAAATGACCAGATACAGTATAAAGATTAGACAAATAACTCGATGAAAAGAAAAAACATAATGCTCAATATATGGCAGCTGTAGGAAAGTTGTCAGGAGCATCATCTGATCTCTTTGCTCAAGAATGTTTATGCACATTTTCTGGACTAACTTTTAGCTTGGAAAACACCTTTGATGAATTTTGTCTGTCCTCATTCAGGCAGACAGGACCTATACTTGCATGACTAGAAAATAAACCAGCAGTAAAACCAACATGATCAATGAGTCTTTCGACTGTGATGCTGTTCAGCCATTCTGCCACTTGGCAAAAAGAGCATGTCAGGTGGATTTAGATCTATAGAGCTGCTACATTCAGTAACAAACATCAGATATCACTACATTAAAAAGTTTTCTTTCAGTTTTTATAAACAAACACATGCTTGTTAAGTGAACCTTTGTTTAAATAAAATGTATTGTAGCTGTAGGGAGATATGCGGTTGATCAAGTTTGTGTGCCGCTGCTCATTTCCTTAAAAGTGTTCCTCATCATTCCTTAAAAATGCTGAATGACAAAGCAGGAGGTTAGAAATACTCTCTCATCTCATTGCAGCAGCAGTTTCCTTGCCTTTGGTGTCAGTATGTACTGTAATATTTTTAAAGATGACTTTGGCTGTTTACATTTTATTCTTTATTATTTGTTGAGTATCTAATAGTAGACGTTTACTTACTACACAGAAGGTATTTAAGTCATGGTTCTTACATTCTTGTCTCTTAATTGATAATAGCTTGATCTTTGACTTATATAGATTTTAGGTAAGTGTTTAAATGTTATTTAAATATTATACAGTATAAGCTGTTATAAAAGAGTATCACATGTGCTTATTGTTCATGCACAGAACTTGATAATCCATTATCTCATCCTCTTCATCATGCTGCTGCTTCTTCATGTGCTGATGCTGTCGCTTCTCTCCGGTGGTTCAGTCAAAGTTGTGCAGAATTTTGAAAGTGGCTGTGGTCAATTGTTTGCAAATGGAAAATCACCAACAAGATTTCCTGGTCCACAATACAGGCAGATCTGCCAAACTCTAAATAATGATGTTTATTATGCCACATTCTATGACACTGACAACAAGATCCCCGTGTACTCTCCAGCATATCCAGCAACTTCGCACAGCCATTGAAGAGGAGTGGACCAACATTCCACAGGCCACAATCAACAACCTGATCAACTCTATGCGAAGGAGATGTGTTGCACTGCTTGAGGCAAATGGTGGTCACACTGTCTTTTATGCCACCTTCACTCTCACCAATGCTGCTCCACAAGGCAAATGTTTTAACAGAATTCTTTGGTGGGATGAAGAACAATTGCTGGGAACGCATCTGAAAACAGCATGTAGTTCACAACGTGTTTACATTGTGACAGGGGTGGTACCAGGCACTCATAGCATAAACAATAGAGTGAACGTGCCTAGTCATTTCTGGACTGCATTCTGCTGCTTAGACAACAATTAGTCAACGTTTTGGGGGAATTTATAATGAGTGATTATGTTGTATTTCTTAATCAAATAACAAATTAGAATGACAATTATCTGTAAAATGATAATAAGATAATGATTTTACTTTAACCTTAATCATTATAATGTCTCAATTAACCTCGAATACATCTAATAAAAATCATCAAAAACCTATATGCATTTGCACCTGATTGCTAAAAAAAAAACTGAACATACACAGATTTTGTGATCTGGTACAGTAACAGTATCAAACAATCATACAGAAGGTACCAAGCTGTCAGTCACAATGGGGTTCTGATTCTTTAATCAGTATCAATGGAGGAAAACAAACAATAACAAATAGTTGTGAGAAGAAGTGAATATAAATCAATCATTGAATATCTCATTATTATGGACTGAATTTTAATGGATTGAGATCTTGATCCTGAACTGGTCATGGACATATTGCAATTACTAAACAATCTGCAAACTTCAACAAAACAAGCATAGGAGTTCTTAAAATGACAAGCTCCAATCTTTAGCTTTTTTTTGGTGGGGGCTCCACAACTCATCCCCAACACAAGCACTGCAGCTTCCCAGGCTGCTACAATAGTTGCTGTATTTGGAAACGTTTGTAAGATCCATGGCACCAAATCTTAGACTCTAAGGGGCCATTCACACAGAACACGTTTTTTCTATGTAAACTCCCTAGACTGATGTGTTTAAACCATTGCACTCGCATCTCACATTTATCAAAGCAAAAATGTTCTGTGTGAACTAAATCCTTCCACTTTCAGATTTACCAGGCCATCGTGTCAAAAAGCAGTAGACAGTAGTCAATTTAACATGTCAGTCAAACGACACCTTCCTGTCTCAATGGGTGCTTTTTGGCCAGAATAAGATGTTTTGCGAATAATGAAACTATTTGTTACCTAACATTGGTTTAAGGTGTAAGTGGAGGGTCAAAATTGAAAACAAGACACCAACACGACTATATTGACCAGTCATAAAGTAGAACTATAAAGCATACCTTACAGTAAATTACACACGGTGGCCGTACATTTAAACATGACAGGAACAGTCATACATCAATTTATTTAACAAGGTGATGGTTATTCAGACAGTCTTGGATAATACTCTAATGAATATCTCATTTTATGAGCCAACATCCCTGATGAACAAATCAGCATATGTAGCTGCTCACCAGCATATGTTGTGTTTTGGATGCTGATCCTCACAATGAAATTCTAATATGCTGGTGTCCCAAACTGGGATTCTTCACTTGCTTAAAGGTCCCATATTTTACACCTTTCTGGAGTTTTATTTTAGGTTTTGATGTCCTTAAGAATATATATTTGCGGTATAAGTACCAAAAACCATCTCAATGTATATTTACAGCTCCTTTCTCAGGAGCTCTGCTGAGAACAGGTCGATTTTGGCCTGTCTAATTAATATTCATGAGCCTCTCTTCTGATTGGCCTGTTGTTTTCTGAGTGACGCACGGCCAGGTCAACCACAGGTAACTAGGGTCAGCGACGTCACAGCGCTAGCTGGAGGCAGCAAAACAAAGGGGAAACTGGAGGCGGCCCATTCAAACCAGCGTAGATTCGGCTACATAAGGAGCTTAAAATATCATCTTATTGTGATGTTGGGTGCCAGAATCAACGTAATACAGCCTCAAATTAGAAATTTGATCGGATATCTGCTGCCACTGCCAGACAAAAAACCGACGACAGCTGTGGTTAAATGCCATAAAACGTGCAGACTGGACAGAAACGATCGTCAAAAATGCTTGTGTTTGCAAGCGCACACTTCTTATCAGAAAAGGTTCAATAAAGTATTGGCTTTTGTTGTTATGGGTGCGTCTACAGATTTCTTACCATATGTCTATGTTTCTTGCATCTCACGACTATGTCGTGTATGAAATAATGTCTGTGCATGTGTATAAAACAACAAACTGACAATTTAAATAAACATTTGTAATTGTATATACATTGTTGTGATTAATTGTGGCTGGAACAATAATGTAGCTGTAAAAATAGTCGCCTGCTGAAATTGAAATTTATCCACCTCATAGTAACAATCCTGTCAGATCGTCCATCCTTTGAGTGAGAGTGTAATGTTACAGGTCAGCCGATCTGGTTTTGTGGTTAAAGTTAACCTTTTCGACATGTTTCGTGTTGTCGTTGCTCAGCAATGGCATGGACGCGATGTTGTCTGGGGGTTTGGCAAAAGCAGAGTGGGACGGTGGGCGGTGCTCGGGGTGGTGACCGAAGGCAGTGACTGTGTAGCTCTGACGTCAACTTTTTACGGAAGTCACAACTGTTCCTGAAAAATCAGCTACTTTAAGCAGGCTGTGTGAATTTTACTGTGGACTGACTGTTTTGAAACTTATATGCTAGTTACATAGCACCTAGACCTTAGTTATCATGAAAAAAGCCAGGAAATTTAAGTTTTGACAATATGGGACCTTTAAACAGCAGACTTTCCCTGCATAAACCAGACTGGATCAGTATGCAAACTGGTCTAAGCTGGTGTTTTCAGCAGGGATAGACTCTGGAAATGTTCTTTATTCTTACATTAACAACTATACAAAACAGTGTACATGTGAGAGAGACACTCAGTGGCCGGGCACATAGCTCTGTACTGTGAGTGTGTTGTTGAGTTTCAGCGTGTGAGTAGACTGTGCCTGTGAGGTCAGGCTGTATGTTGAGTAAGACACAGCAGAGCCGAGCATCAGTCCCGCCATATATGATACAGTCATGGTGTTCCCTGTAAAAAAGGTTTTTTTTTTGTTTAAATAGCAGACGAAAAATCACAATTGTAATACATCAGTTGCAAATGGAGAATTTTGTTTAAGTCTACTGCTTCCAACAATTTGCCAGAGATTTCGGTATCAACTCAAGTACTGCACAAAATTATTAGAGCTATGCTATCCACATAAATTTTATCTCACTGTTTTTCTTTCAGTACTGGGAGTCAGGGAACTGTAAATAAATAAATAAATAAATAAATGTTATGTGTTAAGGAATTCTATTTTAAAGTTACACTATGTGTAACTGCCCTCTATCGGTTGAAACGTAAAACTGTCAGTTGTTTGTGGAGGATGGACTTCAGTGTGGATAAATCTGAAGGTTTGAGACGTACACCTCTACCAATAGTTACAGGTAATCATCTTATCAGAGCGAATGTCACTAATGACTTCAAAACTCTCCCCTATGCAAATAAATGTATAAATTAATAACGAAAAAATCTTCATAATTTAATAATATGTCTTGAGGCTACCACATCCCGGACCTCTTTATTTGCGGACACGAGGTAAATACGCACGAATAACATCGGTATGCAATTTCCCTCTAGACTTAGGTTTTCTATGTGCATGAATTCTGTAGAATTTAGTAGTCAACATTTCTAAAAACCTATAACAGTATAGCTTTAGTCTGTTTAAAAACATTTAATATATTATGTATTGTATTAGCGTTCTGTGCAACCTAGTGACAGAAAAATATGTCAATTACATGCTTTATATTGCCATATCACACATTTATTAAATGTAGTAGTCATTTAGGTTTTTTGGTGATTAGGGATTTAAAATAAGAAATAAAACCCAAACGGCTGATTTACATTAGAAACTATTGATTTTGTGGTGATTATGACAAAATATAAGCACATTTACTGAAAATGATTTAAAGGGGTCATATGATGCTGCTAAAAAGAACAGTATTTTGTGTATTTGGTGTAATGAAATGTGTTTATGCGGTTTAAGGTTCAAAAAACACATTCTTTTCCACATACTGTACATTATTGTTTCTCCTCTATGCCCCGCCTTTCTGAAATGCGTCGATTTTTACAAAGCTCATCGGTCTGAAAAAGCGAGGTGTGCTGTGATTGGCCAGCTATCCAGTGCGTTGTGATTGGCCGAATACCTCAAGCGTGTGACGGAAATGTTACGCCCCTCACCATACTGTGATGCCGTGTCCCGGCCGGAGCGACGAGACAAAAACATTAAAACCCATTATGGTTGACGCTTAACTTTTATAAATAATATCTCTTTGGATTTGAGACTTTAGTCTCAACTTTACAGATCTTCTTTATGCACCAAGAGCTTGTAACACTCCAAAGAAAAAGGAAAAATTTAAATCGCATCATATGACCCCTTTAAAACAAAAAAACTACAAAGCTCAGCAAAGCAATTGATGAGCTCATAACAGGTGAAATATGAAAAAAGGACCTTTAGGAAATTGACTTTAAATTTGAATTTCTGACAGAGTTACCAAAAATTAGGTATTTATTTCTGGTCTGAAGACAGGTGGATTAAACTTTGATAAGCTGAAGAAAGCATCAAATGAAATGGTGTATTTCTATTTAGAACATTCTAGTGATCATCTCTAACTAATTGTGTGGTAACAGAGTGGTAAATTTGATGTTTTGAAACTCAAATAAAAAATTTTGAAACTAAACAAATTTTTACTATAGTAATTCAACAATTGCATTCACATATTTTCTCAAAGCATAACTGATCACTCTTACAGCCCTAAATCCCCTGAGTGACAAATGTTTTGTCATAATTACTCATGTGTCAGCCATACTCACCTGCTACTTCTCGCTGCTGAAGTGGCACCTTGCCGGCCGCCTGTATCATTGGTACAGAGCCAAGGTAACCGTTACTGATTCCCAGCATCAAGGACAGGCCGCAGGGCCAGGCTGGGTGCGCTAGCAGGGGGCGCTGCACGGGCAACACGCACATCACAAACAGGGGCAGGAAGAGAACGCGCAAACACGAACACACCAGCAGCTGCACACCACCCCATTCATATGGACACGCTGCCAAGATCTAAAGAGAGAAATAAAGGACTTTGAACATTTGCCATTTTTAAATCATACTATATGCTTGTATATGACATCAAACAGCTTCATTTCACCTTGCCCACAAAGTCTGCCATGTTGAACAGAGCCATGGTGAGAATAGGCAGCCATTCTCCCAGTGTATCGTTGTGTAACTCTGACTCCAAACCAGGGAACAGACACAGAGTGATGAAATATGTCACCAAAATTGAGAGCATATAGGGCCAGATCTCCCGGGCAACTGCACACCTCTGACCTAGCAGCTCTGTAAGAAAGTCATCATATGCTATGTCAAAAATCTTCAGTCCTAAAACTGCAATGTTAATTGAACTTATAGCAACAGTTCAGCAAAAATAAAAATGTGCTTACCTTCAGGCCACCAAAGACCCAAATGATTTTGTTTCTTCATCAGAACAGATTTGGAGAAATGTATTGCACTTGCTCACCAATGGATCCTCTGCAGTGAATGGGTGCCATCAGAATGAGAGTCCAAACAGCTGATAAAAACAGCACAATAATCCACAAATAATCCACAGTGAAAAAGTCCATACCCTGTTGTCCTGTCACATCAAAATTAACTGACATATTTGATTATAACTTTTTAGGACTGATTTTGCTTGTAAACGGTGCTTGATCTGTGCATTTTTCTCTCCTGATTCTTTTCACTGGAGAAAGCAATATTATAGAGGACTCAACGGTTTGAAGTTAAAAATGTCTTAATGATTGATTTGTTTCTAACAAACATGCAGCTTTTCACATTACATGAACTGATGGACTGGAGTGGAGTGGATTACTTGTGATGTTTTTATCAGCTGTTTGGACTATCATTCTGACGGCACCCATTCACTGCAAAGGATTCATTGATCCAAGTGATATAATGCTATATTACTCCAAATTTTCTGATGAAGAAACAAACTCATATACACCTTGGATGGCCTGAGGGTGAGTAAATTCTCAGTATATTTTCATATTTGTGTGAACTATAACTTTATTTTGTAGTATGTTGACTGAAGAGCTACAATTTTCTGATTAAACCTATAGCTCACCCTTCACGCTCATCCAGCTCCTTTTGGTGTCTGGTTTGAGCACACCAAATCTGACATATATTCCATCTCCATGGGAACCGTTACCCAGATTGACTGCATCAGCTTCGTCAACTGTGCTTGATGCCACTCCATCCTAATTTGTGGAAAAGCCATGAGTCAATGTCAATTTTATTTTTTAGCAAATCATCCTAAACAAAGGTCTCAAAATCTGGTTGAGCTGTCTACTGCTTACATCAAATTTGGGGGAAATTATATATTTTATATTGACATGGAACTATTTTCTACCAAAATGTTTTAGAAATTAATAAAGAATACATTTATAAACATTAATAAACATTTCCCTTGGCAACACTTTTTTTAAAAAGAAGTACACTTTAGCATATTTTTAAAAAGAATACTTATTATGGAAATAAAATATTTAATGGTATTGCATTTTTCCATTTTTCATTTACTTCAGATGTGCTTTACAGGTGCATCTCAATAAATTAGAATGTCGTGGAAAAGTTCATTTATTTCAGTAATTCAACTCAAATTGTGAAACTCGTGTATTAAATAAATTCAATGGACACAGACTGAAGTAGTTTAAGTCTTTGGTTCTTTTAATTGTGATGATTTTGGCTCACATTTAACAAAAACCCACCAATTCACTATCTCAACAAATTAGAATATGGTGACATGCCAATCAGCTAATCAACTCAAAACACCTGCAAAGGTTTCCTGAGCCTTCAAAATGGTCTCTCAGTTTGGTTCACTAAGCTACACAATCATGGGGAAGACTGCTGATCAGACAGTTGTCCAGAAGAAGCAGATTTAGTCACACATGACAAAAAGGTATTAAAACAATGTTTTAAAATATACTTTAGAGTAAAACTTTTAATTTGACAGTAGTGACAAAATGCACTTTTTAAAAGTGAACTTATGTGTGCTAAGAAACATACTCAAAGTGTACTGGTTTTATTTAATTAATAATATATTCTCTCTAATACAGTTTTTTTTTTAAATGTACTTTTCAAATTTCAAGTACACTACAAGTGCACAATCTGTACAATTAAGCACACTTCTTTTTCACAAGGGGGTGTCTATGACCTTGGATAGGTTTGTCACAGTGCATTGTAGTGTTGCCCTGTGTCAGAAGTGTGCATATGTCCAAAAAAGCTATTTATGTAGGAAGCTTATTACATTTTGAAAAACAAATTACACCCATTTTGTTGCCATGGTTCACAGAAAACTTTTCCTGCAATGTAAGAAGGAAAATAGTTAGCCACAGACCCACAGAAACCTTTCAAAACCTGTCAGTAACATATGGATAAAGAACCCACACCCAAAAAGTCCCAAAAGTCAAGTGGAAACCATTATTTCCATGTGTGGAATTACCTCTTCCTCTGCGCTGCTGTCGTAATGTATCTGATAGCCACTGTGCTTTTTTGTCGTAACATTATTGATCTGTACTTTGAGCCAGCTGTGGCGAGCCCTGTCGGTGTGATAACGGACAAAGTGTGTCCGTCGTACCACCACGTGTAACAGAAAACAGAGCGTCTCTATTGAGACAGAGAACAGGAAGAAGATGATGGTGTTGCTCTTCTCGTCTTCCACCAGCAGCTTTGTAAAAATGCGACTCAGAGAGACAATAACTCCTGCAGTGCCTGAAACAACCATAATTGACAGAAAAAACAACATCAACTGCAATACAAACAAACAATACATATGATGAATAAAAATTGGGTGAATTCATATTTTGGGACTAATTCATATTACCAAAAATATATAAATAAAATGCTCATTACTGTAATGTGAAAAATGTTTATATCATATCTATAATTTAATAATAAAATGTAATAGTAAAATAGAATTTTTTTAAGAATCTGCATTTGTTGTACTGCCTTTAATTTTCAAACAAAAATGAAAATTGGCCCTCTATTCATAATATTGCTTTCTCCAGTGAAAAAATTGTGTCATCTGAATCAGGAGAGAAATATGCATCGATCAAGCACTGTTTAGAAGTCAAAACAGTTCTAAACCAATATGTTATTGGATTTTGATGTGGAAAGACAACAGGGGATGGACTTTTACACCGGAGAAAGTGTTATTATGGATTATGGTATTTTGGTCAAAAGTGATGGTTTAAAGTTAAAATACCTTGATAGATTTGTTTCTTAAAAAAACACAAGATGTGCTTCACAAGATGTTAAAGGCACAATATGTAACTTTCGCCCGCTAGAGGGCACGTATTCAAAATAAACAAAGAGACAAAGGCGTAGTTTGATGAGGCTGTGACTGAGTGTGGAATCATGGGAGTTGTGGTCTTCATCCCCACAGCCGATGCAATCCGACGGGACTCGGGCAGAAATCATGTTCATGGATGAGCTAATGATTTATTAACGTAGCAGAATGAAGCAGGGTGAGGCTGAAAGCCATCGAAGTGAAACGAGGCCGCTGAACGAGCGCGACACACGGCTCGAAAGCAGCGGAGCTTTTATTATGCCACAGTCGACCGCTTCCGCTCCTTCCGGTCGTGTGTATGTGGGGGAAAAAGCAGCGCTGTTTTACCATACTAGATACGTTTGAAAGTTCTGTTATAATGCTACTCTATGTGGTCGTCACCGGTCTATTAAAACGCACAACATATTAAAGAGTCTTTGGTGTTTCCATGTTTTCTACAAAACAAAACTGGAAATCGAGGGGTTATGACGTCATTGGCAGGCGACACAATGACACTATGGACACGGTCCGTGTCGCTAGTTAAAATTGCTTATTTCTCTGGATTTAAACATTCTTCGAAAAATTTGAGATAAAGTACGTACACAAGTCAGCAAAATATATAACACTTCTAGTGGATATTTTAATTAAAAAAAACTTACATATTGTGCCTTTAAGCATTTGCTTATTTAAATCCTGACTGAATTTTTATTTTATTTTATTTTTTTGTCCGGGCAGTGTAACAATAGCGTATGCTTGTAAATGAGGTCTAAAACGGTGCTTCTCAATCGGGGGGCTGGTGACCACTATAGGGGACTTAGCAAACTTCAAAGGGGAATTAAGAAGTCTAAATTATTTAAAATATTTAAGTTTATAAAACTCCAAGGCCCCCTTCATCCAAGATCCACATATATATATATATATATATATAGGCATGTTGTAATAAAAATAA